ATGTCATAACTCTCACTGGTATCTTTAGAGACCACCACCTTCTAGCCACCTTGTGGCTTTTATGTCTATTAAAAGTTTAGGGGCGCCTGGGTGGCTCCGTCGGTAAAGCGTCCAACTTCAGCTCAGGTCATGATCTCGCGGTTTGTGGGTCCGAGCCCCGCGTCGGGGTCTGTGCTGACAGATAGCTCAGAGCCTGGAGCCTGCTTCAGATTCTGTGTCTCTGTCTCTCTCTGACCCTCCCCTGCTTATGCTGTCTCTCTCTCTCTCTCAAAAAGAAATAAAACATTAAAAAAAACATGTAAAAAGTAAAATAAAATTTGTCAGACCACTCAGTATCACTCTTGAGTAACTTAGGGGACTCATGCAGAGTCTCAGCATTGGGGTAGAGGTCAGGTGTGGACCTTAGTTCACATGACCTAGCTTGCCACAAACTGCAGGAGAGGTTCCATAATGAGGTTGTCACCTCCCCAGCAAGCACTGGCCAGCCCCCCTCTTTCAAGTTCAGCTTCCTGTATTCTGCCATCTAGAAGTCAGAGGTAAGTGGGTGACAGGGAGAAAATATTCCATCCAGGTGGCCCCGTGAAGAGACACTCACACCTCACCTGGAATTGCATCAAAACTTCTTGGTCCAGTCTGAAGAAGCCCCAGCTCTGCTTCTACCCAGGCACATGAATGTCACTGACAGAAGAGGAAATGCCCAATCCAGTTTGGCAGCTTTAATGGTTTGTACCTTTGACCACTTGACTTTATGCATCTTTGATGCATTTCTTGATCTCTTTGGTTATTCAGACATTTGAGTTGTCCTCTTTCTGAGCCAAACTCCTCCAATTTGATGAGTGACTGGGTGTGTCAAGCCACTACCATTAGCTGCCACTCCACCACTTAGTGCTCTGAACTCTCAAGGGACAACCCCCTTCCTGTAGGTGGTCCTCGAATGACCCTGGCCCCCTGCCTGTCCTGCTTTGAGTGCCAGACTAGATGCTGATGGGTACATGATTCTGAAAGGCCTGAGTGTAACCAGTATATGTTTTGCAGCACTTAAACTTAGCTGCCTTAGTTGTCTTCCGCAAATGGTTGTGTTTGAGATCCTTTCCTTCTGCAGAAGGCTGTTTTCCGCCAGTTCTTCTAGGAGGTGATAGGCACATTCATCATACTGTAAATCATGAGGAGATTAAACCTTTGTTTGGACTCCTGCCCAAACACAAATTTTCTGGAAAAGTATATTAGAACAACCAGTCACCAAAGATAACAAAGCTGAATATGAAAGACTCCAGTGCAAATGAGGCTTGCCAGTGCTCCTCCTGCTTCCATAAGTGTGATCCAGCTTTCCTGGTGGGGGTTTGTTTTTTGTTTTGTTTCTCTTTTTTTCCCAAACTGTGCCCTTTAAACTCACATAGGAATTTTCTGCCCTAAAGTATCTTCTAGGAAAACTTATAATGAGAGAAGAAAAAAAAAAAAAAAAAAAAACAACAACCATAGAACAAAAACCGAGGAACAAAGGCAAAAAACAATCCTGGTCTGGGTGTCTCCTGTGAGGGTTTCATGAAGTGAGCCCGCCAGACGTGTTACACATGCTATGGAATAGCATCTTGTCTGTCTATGATATCTGTCTTTGTGTTTGGCATTGCCGAGCCTTGGAGGTTATCATGCATGCCAGTCATGTGAAATAAGCACAGCTGACAGGATTTAAAGCCAAAGACTAACCTTTCTAATTCATCTATTCCCTGTTCTGTGCCTTAGGCCATGCCTCTTCTGCAAGAATATACTACACCCTTGCTTCTGTGATGGGAGCTGCGATAATTTCCTGAATGTCAGTCAAAGCCTGTCTCCTCGAGTAGCTGGAGAAATTCAGGCTTCTCCTTCTGACTAGATGGGAAAGGAGCTATAAAGAATTTTGAGAATAAGATGAGCGTGGATATTTTTGCCACATGTGCTTAACTTTTTCACTTCTTTAGTGCAAAATATGATTTATAATCCCTTTCCTCTTACATTTTACTAATCAATGAAATTAATTCTGAATTTAAAAATATATCTAGAGATAAATTAATTCATCAATAATTTATTAAAATAAATTTATCAATATGGAGTGAAAGCTATGTAGTGGGCATTGTTCTCAGTGCTGTGGTACAAAATAGACCAAGTCCCTGCTCTCCTGGATCTTATATCCTGTGGGTGGGAAAACATAAAATAAATCAAATAAGTAAATATGTATGATGTCAAGAGGTGGTAAGTACTAGGAAGGATAAAGCAAAAGAAGGAGATAAGGAATGAGGGTAAAGGGGGAAAAGGTACTGTTTTACCTAGAATGGCCAGAGAGGGTCTTTCAGGTAAGATGATAGCTGAGCAGAGGTCTGAGGTCATGAATGAGTGAGCCATACTGGTATCTTGAAGAAGAGTGACCCAGGCAGAGAAAACAGCAGCTAGTTGTAGACACACAGGTGCTCAGGGTATTGATAGAAACTTTTATGGTACAGTGAAATTTGGATTTTTTCCCAATGAGATTAAAAAGTCATTGGAGAGTTCTGCATTAGGGAATGACATAATTTCATTGATGTCTTTAAAGGACTAATTTGGTTTATATTTGAAAAACACTGCGTGAGGGAAAAGGCGAAAGCAGTTTGACCAGTTAGGAGGCTATTCTAGTAAGTCTAGAAAGACCGTAGATTAGACAAGAGTGATAATGACGGCAGTAGCATTACATGGTGACTGGATTCTGGAACTATTTGGAGATAGAGCCAACAGGAGTGGCTGATGATCTGATGTGAGATATGAGGAAAATAAGAGGAATCAGGAATTGACTGGTCTTGTAGCCTAAATAATCAAGAGTTGCTGTTTGCTGAGATGGTAGGATTCAGATAGGAGTAGGTTTGGTGGTTGATAGAGAGGATCAAGAGATGAGTTTGGGACACATTCAATTTGAGCTGCCCATTAAATATCTGAGTAGAGATAGACAGTTGGGTATAACAGTCTGGAGTTCAAGGGTGATGTTGGGGCTAGAGGAAAAATATGTGAGTGTAATGAGTGTATAGATAGCTTTAAAGTCATGGGACTACATGAGATCATCTGTGGAATGAGTGGAGAGAGGGAAGAAGATATCTATAGACTGACTTCTGGATGTCCCCAAAGCCTAACATGTGGGAAGGAGGTGTGGAGCAGATAGTTAGTGAAGCAGAAGAAACTGAGAGAGCAGGTGCTGTCACAGAGGCAAAGGAAGAAATTGTTTGAACCAGAGAGAGGGCAGCTTTGCTAACTGCTGCTGACTTGAGTAAGATTAAATGTTGAGAAATGGTAGGGTGTGTGGGTGGCTCGGTTAGTTAAGTGTATGTCCGGCTCTTGATTTCACCTCAGGTCATGATCTCACAGTTGTGAGGTCGAGCCCCGAGTTGGGCTCTGCACTGGTTGTGGAGCCTGCTTGAGTTCTCTTTTCCCCTCTCTCTCTGCCCCTCCCCTACTTGTGTGCACCTGTGCATGCTCTTTCTCTAAAAAAATTAATAATTAAGTGTTGAGAAATGGCTATTGGACTTGGAGGTCATTGGTGACCTTGATGAGAACATTTTTAGAGAACATTGGTAACAAAACTCAACAGAAGTGGATTCAAGAGACAATAGGGTAGAGCAAATAGTGGTGTTTTGTATAGACACCTTTCCTGAAAAACTTTGCTATGAAAGGGGGCATGGAGGGAGCTGTGGGGTCAAGGGAGGGGATTTTTATTTCTTGAGATAAAAGCTTTAAAGGCATATTTGTATGCTGATGGGAATTATCGTTAGTAGAAAGAGAACAGATAATGCTTTGGGAGCGAGAGAGGCCAATTGCTGGCAGAAGGGGTTGAGATTTAGTGCACAAATGGAGTGTTTAGTAAAGCCAAATGTGCTGATACAAATATGGTAGATGGCTTGGTAGATTTGGTGTTGGGAACCTTTGGAAGATCATAGGGTTAGAAAAAGGAGAGAAAGGAGCAGGTGGAGGCTTGAGGGAGAAGGAGTAGAGTGAATTGACCACACCAGTGTTTCTTAGGCTTCCCTTATGCATCAGAACGACAAGGGGCCTTGTTATAACACTAGTTGCTGGGCCTCACCCTGAAAGTTTCTGATTCATTTAGGTCTGGGGAGGCACCCAAGAATTTGCAATTGTGACATATTCCCAGGTACTGCTGCTGCTGCTGGTCCAGAGATGAGACTTTGGGAACCATGAGGCGTGGAGGTGGGTTGGGATGTCAGGAGCAGGACTTTTGGCCTCTGTGCTGGCAGTCATGCATGGAAAATGAACTTAGTCATTGTGGTTGTGTGTTTTCCTCCAGCCCTGTGCGGCAACTGAAGAGCTGGCGACAGTAGGCGCAAAGTTGGACTTAACCAGAAAAAAAAATATATATCACTAGTGTTTTGGGGAAGCTTCTCTGTGATGTCTTTGTAGTCTGAAAATGCAGTTTCTCCATCTTGCATTTGAAATGGAAAGGATTAGAGAATCTGAGAGTGGGAAAAAGAAAAATGAAAGTTTGTGGTTGAAGTTTACTGTTGTAGGACTTAGAAGTATAGTGAAGTAGTAGTCGCTCTGGTTTTCTATTGAAAGGGGAAACATAAGCCCCCTTTCCCTAAAATGTCTGTTAACAGTACTGTTTCTGTGATCTCCACAATTGTGAAATACACCTTGAAAAATTAAAATTTGTGTTTTCTTGTATTTTATAAGATTACCTCCATCACAAATAGAATTTTAAGACTATCGTATTGTTCTTTGCAAACATTCATGGCTTCCTACAAAAATAAGTGGTTAGGTGCAGAGCCTTACACATGGGAAATGAGTTCTGGAAGTGATAACCCAGCTATCAGACTGAGGGCCATAGCTTCATCAGAATAGAAGAAAAAGAACTGACTTCCATAATAAAACACAGTATTAATTCAGATACAGTATGTTAAGCAGCAATTTAAATATTTTTAGATTGAGTATTAAGCAGGTAGTAATTTGTAAGTAACTGATGGTTTTCTTTTTATTAAAAACCAAAACAGATTTTGTTGGAGCCAGGCGTGATCCAGGATGTGTTAGCAGCTGGCAGTCACCTACAGCTGTTGGAGCTTCTCAATTTATGTTCCCACTATCTCATCCAGGTATGTGAGCCTTCATCCTGCACTGTGCCCTTTGTGCCCTTCCCCCTGCAGTCATCAGCTGTACCCTCCCCCACTCCACCTGTGCCAAGACGGTGTAAAATGGAAGCTGGGGTGTGTGGCTTGTGATGGTAGAATCTCTCCAGGACACAGACCAAGAGACTTCCAGAAGGGCAGCTGAAGCTCTCATGTCCCCCACACTCCCTGCCCACACCAGATCCTCACTACCCTTGGACAACAGAGGAAATCAGCAGTCGTGCCCAGGGTTTACTGCCAAGGCCCTGGGGAGATGACACAGAGAAGGGCCTTCACTTGAAGCAGTGCTATCAGGCGGCAGGAATAACCCCAAATGCATCACAAGTTGGATGGTCACTTCAGATTTCAGCAACAGTAGCTAATAAATCACAAAGTCATATGTAGCTAATGACCATATGAACTTTACAGGCAGTAGGTGCTGGAAGAGTGCCAAGTGGTCTGTGTACTCTCCCCTGCTGTGCTGGATGGTCAGGAGGGGCTCTGGGAGGGGGAGGGGGAGAAGACGCCCATCCACTGAGCACCCGTGTTCCATGTTCAGCCTTTATAACAACTCTGCACATTTTAATGGGTGAAAAATCAGAGATTTTTCAATGTACCCAGCTTGCCTGAGGTGATATAGCTGATGAGCGATAGGCCTTTTCTGATTCCGAAGACCATTTTTTCTTCTTAGATAAAAACTTGTTTCAGTAAGAAGATATGGGATGTCTTAGGCAGACAGTGTGGCTGTGGGCTCTTTTATTTTACAGAATTAAGTGCTAATTCCCTGTAGTGGGACCCTCTCATTTCTTCCACTGGCATGATTTTTATTTGCATTTATTACAGCATTGTAACAACAGTGCAGATAAATTTTTAAAAGTGATAAATCCACACAATTTAGTTCTGCTGTCCTTGTGCATATGACATGTTAGTAGGTACAAAAATCCTATTTGTTTTCCTGCCCAATTATTTTATTTTCTTCCTAGTCATTTTCCCTAATTCTAAAGACAGCCATTATTGTTGACTTCTGTTACTCATTAGGTAGTTACTAAATCTCTTTCTCATGTATCATCTGATTGCATCTTCCCAGCAGCCTCAGCCACATTCACCTGAGAAACAGTTCACACACAGTAGATGAAAGTTTTATCATGATCTCAGTAAATTTAATCTGACAGTAAATGTTTAACTATTTTCATCTTATTTTCCTTTCTTTTCCCCTCAATAGTGTTGGGTGGTATGGGAGAGCTGTTTTTAATCCCTTTCTGCAAGTAGCAAGTGGGAATAACAGAGAAAGGTTATGAGACTTCAGAGATGTGTGTTTGACTTGTGAAATTGAAATTACTTTTATTTGACATTTTTACATCAAATATTGCAACTTGAGCCTTCAGCATCATCACCTGATTCACTTTTTCCATGGCAGGTAATATTCAATAATGTATGTTGCCAAAAATTTGGTTATAGTGCTCATTATCATGATGTGTGTTAGGATAGTATGTATATACAGGGGTGTGTGTGTGTGTGTGTGTGTGTGTGTGTATTTGTTTATGCACACCTGTGGTTTCTATAAATGAGAGTTCCACATGAACATCAGAAGTTCATGAGTATTTTTCCCTAACCCATCAGATGAATCTGTTGAGAGAGCAAATGACTTGTGTGCTTTGGAACTTAATTTTTGCAATTCATTATTGTGTTGAGGAAAAAATGTCACTTGCATGCAGGTATATTTTGTGGACAGTTTGCTTATTATTAGTCTACTTGATCAGTGGTTGAAATTTTCACTTTCTTTTCTCCAGTGTTACCATTTTGTTCTCTCATGAAACTCTATTTTTCCTTTTTATCTGTGATATTGCAAAGTGTCCAACTTGGGGAAGAAAACCTCAAGGGAATGAAAACCATGTGTATGTAAAAATCTTCATTATGTTAGTCTTTTAAAAATATATACCTTCCTACCTTTTAGGATTATAAAATTACCAGATTGAGTCAGTCTGCTTTTATATTTTGACATAGTCTTTTAACTACCTATTTACAGTGTTTTGATATTATCTGTCATTAAACTGATTCTTAATTTCATATGCAACCATTTTATTGGGTATATTAAAATATTTTTGTTACAATGAAAAATCTTCAGTGCTTAAAATATCCAGAGAAGTTGTGCCCTATCAATCAAAGCTAATATACTCTCCATTCTTGTTTAGTACTTTATCAAACTAGGAGTTTGTGAAGCCGTTCTCCCCACTAAGATGTCAGGTCTTAACTGTTATTATGAAATTGCCACTCTGGTTTTCTTCCAGAGTTGTGAAAAATAGATCTTGCTATGATCCCTCCTATTGTCCTCTGGTGTTGATTAAAAAATGAGTTTAAGGAGAACCTCTTGGTTGAAACTCCCTGAGTCTTGGAGCCATCAGCTATTGCCTGGCCTGAAACTCCTCCACACAGGTGTAAATGCCACTGCTGCCCCCCTCCCCCTGGCCCCAGCAAATGGAAGGGACACCTTGAGTCCACTGTGTGCTCTCATTTTTCTTGCTTTCCCTCTGGTAGGCTGCTGAGGGCAGGGACCCCAAACCACGGGAGCAGTCTTCCTCAGTCATTGAGAACAGCTGTTGAATTAGCTTCCTAGGCTCTGGGGTCTTCACCTTATTCATTTTTAGTCCCCAGGCCCTCTCAATGGCAGGCCCTTGTGAACACACAGGTTCTCAATGTATGTTTGTGGAATCAATGGGGAGACCAGCAGTGGGAAAGATGCATATTGGTGGGGATGGGGGCATGAAATGAGCAATGGCTACAGCAGTGGCCTATCATCCCAAGCTAAAGGATTTACCAACAGCAGCTCAGGTTTGTATCCTTCCTTACCCCCTTGGCCATGTACTTCCAGATGACTCTCCTATGTGGCCTGTCCTGTTAGTATACTCTTACTATGCATGACCTGTCAGATTTTCACCTGCTATTCGAGATCCAGGTCCAAATAAAATGTGAATCCTTCTTCCTCTCTCCTCCTCCTACTCCCCTTCCTTGTACATTGTGCTCTTTTTAAGAATTTCATCAGAAAGATGCAGTTTATTAAACTTATTAAAGAGCAGTTGTCTTCAAAATGGGTCCAGTAAAATGCATGAATTAGCTTGCTTTTCAGAGTATACATATTTCTATGCATGCCATTCACTATTTTATTTATTTTTGGAATATTTTCTTTAAAAAATTTTTAATGTTTATTTGTTTTTGAGAGAGAGAGAGAGAAAGAGAGAGACACACACAGAGAGAGATAGAGTGCATGCAGGGAGGGGCAGAGAACAAGGGAGACACAGAACCTGAAGCAGCTCCAGGCTCCAAGATGTCAGCACAGAGCCTGATGCAGGGAGTTCATGACCTAAGTGGAAGTCAGAGGCCCAACTAACTGAGCCACCCAGGAGCCCCACCATTCACCATTTTAAATCTTATAAAGGAACTCTGAAGACCATTCTTGGGAGTGATGGGCTGCAGATGTAGTGGTACATAGTGTGTCCCCTGGATTAGTGAGTTCCTCAGGTAAACATTACAGACTTTTTGAATCCAGTTTGTTTTCACAAACTCTGATTTTTCCTAGACTTTTAAAATTAGCTACTGAACATCTCCACCTAAATATCATATATGCAGTTCAAGCTTACCCTGAGAAAACCTATACTTTTCTCTGTTGATGGTACCATCAATCTGTCAGTTGTCTAGAAATTTGGATATAGTCTTTGACTCCTTCCTCATCATCATATCCAATTAGTTACGAAGCTGAGTTGACTCTACCTCCCAAACAGCTATCAGATCTGATCCTTTTCTTCACCACTAATGTTCTTACTCTTTTGGGGGGCTCTCGTTGTTGACTATAGATTATGATGATTTCATCATATCCTCCTGAGGGGTCTGCTTGTTTCTAGCCTCTCTCCATGCCAAACCATAGTCCCCAGAGTCATCATTATCTTTCCTAGGGTAGGGAAACAGCTTTTATTGAGGGTCTCTCCATACTGAGTGTATTGGACAATGATTCTCATTTTCCCTCTGCTAAGGAACCCCTTAAAGCAGGTGACTATTATTGTCTTTTTATGGATGGAGAAACTTAAATTCAGATCTAGGATGGTGACCTGGTGGAAATGCCCAATAGCTCCCCTGAGGACCATTCTGGAGCATCCTTAGCCCTCGTCTCTGAGGCCAGGCTTGTTCTTCCCCAGCCTCCTCAGCAACTGTAGTGCCTTTCCTAGCCTACTGTGTGCTCTGACCTCTCAGGTGACCTTTCACTCTGGGACTTGCCATTAGAGGAGAAGGCTAAGTGGCAGCAGAGCCTTTCAGCTCCCTCAAATTGTACCAAGGAGCAGGAATAGGGAAAACATCGCATACACACCTTTCCTGATGCCCGTGTCATAAAACCAGGGGAACTGGCCACTGGACTTTGTATCCACTGAAAGTGATGCACTAGGAGACACATGATTCACTGAAAATGTCTTTTTTTTTTGTAGTTAGCTATAAAAAAAGTTTGTACATTATGTACCACTTCCCCCAAAGAATAAATAGTATATCTTATTGCTTAATTAGCAAGTATTTTTTTTTGTTTGCCAAGTATCAGCCTTGAGTATGACATGCAATTGAAATATACTGACAAGAAGGAACAGTCATGTAGACTTTCTAAATAAGGCCACCGAAGTGGTGAATAAACTCCTTTTGATAGGAAAATACTCTTAGTATCTATTCCTAGGCAGCAGGTGGCAGTATGAATCCACCAGAATTCAGTAGTTAATTTAAAGCAAAAATCAGAAAAAATGAAAAGAAAAATTATTTATTTTGCTACATATTAGTCTTCTGACCTAATCAGTAAAAAAGTCATTATTCACACCACACTGGGCAATATGCAGTGTAATTTTTAACAAATAATAGGAAACTGTTAATGTGTTCACAGGAAATACAGTTTTGTCTTGGGCTGCTGTGGTCATTTATCACTGCACTTTGTGAAATCACTCATTTGTTCTAATTTGAAT